CCCAAACACGCTCCCTCACATAAACAAAAACCAGAAAACAAACAATAAAAGAGAAAAAAAACGGTCTGTCTTACCTGCATACATAAACTCAAAACATGTACAAACGAAAACACGAAACCCGTATACAAACGGATTTATCAATACTCACATATATTTACATAATTTTATATGAGCAAAATCACTAAAAACAGTGAAAATAAAATAGAATCAACAGAAATGTGGTTTCTTAGGAGACTGCTAAGAGTAGGCCTATCGTGGAAGAAAAAGAAACCAAATGAGGTAGTGCTTGATGAAGCCCACCTGGGACGCTCAATGTTAAAAACGATCAGGAAACGACAAATGCAGTTTTTGGGACACCTGAATAGACATAAAGGTCTTGAAATCTAGCTCTCACTTATAAAATTGAAGGCAAACGAGGCAGGGGTAGGCCCAGAGCAACCTACTTAGGGAACCTAAACAAATGGGTAACAAGGAAAGATCAGGGAAACGTAGCTTTATTTAGAGCATCCGAGCAAAGGAATGAGTGGAGAACCATGATCACCGATGTCTGTCGCAGATCTGGCACTGGATGATGATGGTGAAGATGGGCAAACCGGTAGATTTTGCGGTTGTGCAAACACACGTGTACACTCATACACATACTTGAGCGTATTTACACCTATATTTTACTCACATACATGCATAAAACTTACATAAACGAACACACACACACATGTACACACATACACACACACACACACACACACACACACACAAATGTACACGCATACACACATACACACATCCATACACATAAAGACACACACATGCACACGCACGCGCGCATATACACAAACATAAACACACACACAAACACACACATGCACACACAAAGACATACACACACATGCAGACGCATACACACACATACTCACTAACTCACACAGACACACACACACACGCATGCACACGTATACACACACATACACACATGCACACGTATACCCCCCTGATCGAAATCCATGAATTTGCTCCGAGTGATGAAGTGTACGGCGCTAGCTACCACCCCAACAGTCACCAGCACGGCCAGGGTGAACTTCCACTTGCGGAGAAACCTCATGATTGTCTCAGTCAGGTCGCCGATATCCAGCTGCCGGGTACCCAGGGCAAACTGTCTACACCTAGCCGGGCACACAGGACAAACTGTCTACACCTAGCCGGGCACACATGACAAACTGTCTACACCTACACCACTTCCTGACTTCTCCGAAAAAAATGGGGGGAAAAATGGGAAAAGAAATTAAAAGTAGAACATGTGAAGCGTGCGGACAAAATGAGTCATTTCTCAGATTCAAACCCTTTGAAAATAGATACATCACGCTTATGGGGGAAGTTTCTGCAATTTATAAGCATGAAAAAATAAAAGGCATGTTATACTTAAAGAAGATGGCATCAATATAAAATCTACCAATTTGAAACAAGTGTCGATTTTTCCAATATCTCCATTTGTAGATTGCGAAAAGTAACTCATTTTGTCAGCGCGCTTCACATATGATAATAATAATAATAAATAGCATTAATTGCATAGCGCATACCCCGCTTGACAGCAAGCTCTGTGCGCTTTACACTTTATTATTATTATTACCCCAGTAGACCATAGAACACTCAGAAACATTCCCAGCTTCCCGAGAAGCATACTACAGTGCAAGCTGCTGATTAAGCGCTCAAACACTACCAAACTAACAAGATCTTTCGCTGCCTATAGCTAGGTATCCATCCCCACCTGAGTGAAGTGAGGAAAATTTGTGAAAGTAAAATAATTATACCCGCCCACATTTCTGTTCATCACATTAATCTAACTCGACTCGCGTTGTTGTTTTTTTCCGAGCATCTGTTACCTCGCTGTTCAGGGATGAGAGGCAAACGTCTTTCTCTCCTCTCTTGTGTCGTCTGTTCAACGGTTATCATATATGTGAGTCATCGTGGTGAAATCACGAGCTCGTCAAAATAAGAAAATCGAAGAAACCTTTTATGTCTATTTAAAAACATATTTCCGTGTGGATTTTACTTTTATTAAAAAATTTAAAAAACAAACAAACAACCCCCC